CCTGTGAAACAGGCAGAAACTGCTGCAATCGAGACCCAGTTACACACGTCAGAAACTCGGTGGTGTGCCTGCTTCAGCTTGCCGACTTGCCACAGGCAGGTGATTGCATGGATCGCATCCAATCTGTCACCATGAGACTTAATGATCTTCAGTATCTCCTGCGATGTTGCGGATTGGTGGATCCTGGGCTGTATAAGGCTCAAGAAAGAAGAGAAGGATTGTGCATGAAATTTACTGCATTGCTGCGTGCTTTGAATTCTGTTAGAAATGTCCCAGTAGCCGAAGAGTCAGCTCCTTCTTGGAAGGCTTCGCTCGCCAGCGGGTGGGGAGAATTGTCCTGCTCCCAGAGAAACATCTCCAGGAGACAGCCTTGGCGGTCCCTTGGTGCTGTCTGAATAGCATTGTCGTGCCATTGTCCGAGGACAAAGCGTATGGCTGCTACGGTTGATACTGCTTGCATCTGCTCGCGTGGTATGGTGTTCGTGCACAGTAATACAGGGCTCGATGCTTTGTCCTCTGCATTGCTGCAAAATGCTTTCACTGTTACCAATGAGATTGTGGCCTGAACTGCACTACAATTGCCATAGTCTACTGTTTTGAAGGCAGTGTAACACCTTACCTCCGCTGCCATCACCAGATCCAAATCGCCATCAAGGTCTCAGTCAACCAGATCAAAATCCACGGGATTAGAATCGTTGCAAGACTCCTTCATGAAGCTGTGGGCAATGAATTCCACAAGGCTGCGCTGAATTACCCCGGTCTCGCGAAACGATTCCCCCCTTTTTTTCACAGACCGCAGGCAGCGAGGAAAAGCTCGCAATATCCTGCATAGCAGCCTACATGCACTTTGTATCCGGCACCGTGCCACCACGTCCGAGCTGCAAAGCCATTGGGAAACTCTCTATGCACGGGTCGCTCTTGAGAAGCAGTTGTCACATATTCACAAACAGGTTCATCAACCCCTTACCTTCTCTCTCGAGTACAAAGCTGCCCTAGTGGCACGCTGGCCCTTTCACTGAATCTGGTTTGGGATGTGCAATTCCACCGACTGACAGGCCGTGCAAAGGCCTTCCCATGTTTTCCAAACGGGAGCAGCGGATCCTCTCAAGCATGCTCCCCTGCAGTGCCCTGAAGCATGTAAGGCAGGTGTAGAAGAATAGATTCTTGATTGTGCAAAAGGCCAGGAATCAGCTTGAGAGAAGATCCTTCAAGGCTTGCAAACTTGCTTTCACTCTTCAGCTGCTCCTCTTAAGAGCTGTCACTGGCGCCCTTTGCTTGTTGGGCTCCTCCTAAGCTTCAAGGAATGATGTTGCGCGACGCCAGGGTTAAGGATTTCTCTGCTTCGCGGCATTTTCAGATCTCCCTTTTATGTTTGGCAATGCTTGGATTCCTTCGAATGGTCCAGTGACGAAAAGGTGCTAAACTCTAAGATGTTTCTCTGGATGAAGCCCGCAAGAATGAGTCTTGGAAGGCCAGATGATCGGGTTAAGTCTTAGAAGCCCACATGTTCATGCGTATGTTGTCGCACCCAGTAAAGTGGATCCGTCTTTTGCGCCTAATCTTCAACCTCCAATCCCTGCCCTTCCATGCCTCTGCGGGGTGACTGATTTCCCATGACCACATTTGTGGAATACACAAGAGATGTCACGCAGCCAAGGTTGGGGAGAGAGAGGTAGAATTGAAAAGGAGACGCAAAATCTAGTGAGTACAATCCCAGCACTCCAAACCCACCCCTGCTTGAGGTAAGTCAGCTTTCTTTGTGGCTGGGGTACTTTTGGGAGCGGGCGTCTCTGGTGTCAAGGGCTTTTCAGGCTTCAGCTGAATTCTTCAAAGGAGAGTTCTAGAGACAATTGAAACACCAGGCCTCAGCTTCCCCCATGGTCACATCCACCACGCGTCGCTGCATGAGATCAGGCCTCATGTGGCCCACTGCCGCTGCTATCATGACTACGACTATTGCGATGATGTGATACGTGCTGCGATGATTGACTGTTGTCTTGCTTGCTGATTTTCATGCCGCCGTCCAAGCATTGAAATGCAGGGAACTTGCGCAGTTCCGGGACACGCGGTGCTGCATGCCTTAGGGACATGACCCTAAGCCGCAGCTGAGGGATGCAAGAAGCTCTGCTTCCGCTTCCACCAATGCTGTGCGGCTTTAATGCTGTACATGCCAACACAACACGCTTTTTGGGTAGATGCTGGGCAGTAAAGACCAACCTCGTCCCAATTTCAATTAAGTCTTCATTTCTCAATTTCACTGACCTCTAATTATTGGGGTTCTATGTCCCCATATAACTCATATACTCCCATTACAGACCCATTTGAACCACAATTTTCCCCTGTGCTTTCTTAGACTCGCTGAGGGCAAAGGCCTCTTCGATGTCTCGGAAGGGGAACTCGTAGCCTACCACAGTCCGAATCTTCCCTTCATCCAGAAGCGCAGCCATTCGCGTCAGAATCTCCTTGTTGGGTTTGATGGACAAGAAGCGCCCAATGACCTTCGGATGCTCGGCTGCTTTAGATGCATCGATAGGTTCGTTGACTGCAACCAGCCGCCCTCCTTCCTTGAGCGTCTGCCAAGAGAGAGCCTGGGTTTGCCCTCCAACAGTGTCGAGCACCACATCCAGGTCACTGAGTACCCCCTGGAAGGCTGTGGTCCGGTAGTCAATCACGACATCAGCGCCCAAGGATTTGACGAAGGGGTGTTTCTCGGCGGAGGCCGTCGCGGTGACATGAGCACCCTTCAGCTTTGCCAGCTGTATAGCCATTATTCCAAGACTTCCAGCACCAGCGTGGATGAGAACTTTGTCGCCCTCGCTCAGCTCGCCTAGGTCGTAAAGTGCTTGCTAGGCAGTGATGCTCGCGATCGGAACTGACGCAGCATCTGAGAATGAGATCGTCTTTGACATGTGCGCCAAGTGGTCTTCTGGAACCAAGATGTACTCCGCATGACTTCCATTCCTCGTGACTTCGGGCCTGCAGTACACCCTGTCACCCACCTTGAAATCTGTTACGCTTTCACCCACCGAGTCGACGACTCCGGAAAAATCCCAGCCGATGATGTGTGGGAAATGAACGGGAATCAAGTCTGCAAGGACGCCGTTTCTAAAAAGCCAGTCGAGGGGATTGATCGATGTTGCAACCACCTTGCAAACCACCCCTGTGGCATCTGCAACAGGTTTCTCGACCTCCTTCAGCTTGGCGGAGGCACGATCGCAGTAGCCATCAATTTGTAGTGCTTTCATCGTCTGTCTGACTGAGGCCATTTCAGTCAGAGGAGGCCGCCAGGGCACGCCGGTACGCCAATTAATGCCTCAGGCGAGAGATGCAAACCCTGTGCTGGTGGCGAAAACTTACTTGGAACGCGACAGCATGCTCTGGGAGCCAGGGAGTCAGGATGCCTTGTAATTGGTTTCGAAGGGACTCCACTACAGCGAGCAGTGCAATATAGGATGCAAGGCTTGATGCATGTCTTGTTTGACGTTGCCGCAAGCTTTACAAGGGCTTTGACCGCATGGGTTACCTTAGAGGACCCCGAATATAGTCACCCAAGGGCAGGTTCGGAGTTATACTGACGGTGACTGAGAAAGTTGCAACTGCCCTGACCTCCAGTGGTGGGCCTCCAAAATCAAAGATCCGTGGCAACTTCAGGATTGCAGGGTTAAGGTTGGGAGCGCTGACCCTCCTTGACCGCAGCTCATGTTCGGGTCGTTGTCAGCAGAAAGGTTTGTGTTGGGAATCTGATCTCTACAGTTTACAACGCCAACTCATCATTGCCCTAAGCATCTTGATCATCCTCATCCATCTGGTCTACTTCATCATCACAACAAACGAACACACACACATATACTGAGAGCAGCGGCGTTGCGTCAGCGCCCCACAGTTGTGCTTCCCAGGCCACAAAAGACTGTGTGACAAAAGATCCAGCAGCTGGAGGCAGCCACAACTCAGGCTCAATGGAGAGCACGAGCAGGGCAGGGAAGGACTACGCTAAGGATGGCACGGTGGCTTCTAGCAATGCACAGTGAAGGTGATGGGTAGCAGGAGCCATGTACCAATGCGTGCAACAATCTGATGAGGATAATCCTGTTGGACATGGGAGCCACCTTCCTTATCCTGAAGATGCGCTACACACATGGGCGAACACCGGTTCATCTGCTTTGAACCACAGAGTGGATCATGAAAAGTAACCATAAACGCCGCCTTCAGAAATGCGGCTGAGGGGTATTTGGAGAACTCTTACTCAGCAGGATCCTGCCGCTCCTTGAGGGCACAGCCCAACTAACAAATCACGGGTACGGAGCCTTAGTGTTCCAGGACCACATGTCCTCCGGCTTCTGAGCTCAGCACCATCTCTTGCAGGCACGCCGTTATGTACATGTTACACGGGTTTCAGCAGGCGCTTGCCCTTAACTGGGAGGATGCTGGCTTCGGGCCTGCAACACCAGCTTCAGCATGCATTCACTCTTCGTTTCTCAGGGTCTGCGTGCCAGGTAAGCAGACACATGTTACAGTTAGGGCAGGAAGTGCGATCTTGCTATTACCACCAGGAAGGCATCCAACTCTGTGGAATGCTACAGCTCCCTGAGGCATAGTGGCTGCGGCTTGCTGAAGGATTCTATGCACAACCCTTTGGGCTTTCTGCGTGCCCAGACTGTCGAAACCTGTCTTCAAGGCCAGCGTACAGCATGCATGTATGGCTGTAACACGTATGCGAATATGCCAACAAATACCTAGCTACATGTGATACGCGATTCTATATACAAGCGGGGTATAATATTGGTGAGGTGTCTTTTGCCTTCCGCCGCAAGCTGCGCGCCTAGAGCGCCCGGTACGAGTCAGCATCGGGTCAAGGTGAAACGGGGCCTTCATCCTGAGGCCCAGGTCATTAACGAGTATGCCAATGCTACTACTCCTGCTAAGACACAAAGAGTGATAACATGATTGCGAGTTGACCAAAGAAGACTGCAGTGGGCCGACGAGGCGAGCTGAATTCGGGCTCAGGCAAGCATTGCGAGCAGGGCGACTGGCCACAGCCAGGCCTTAGCCATGCATTAGCCATGCAACCAAGCAAGTATTGGCATCTGGTGTTGCCTCACGCGGAAGGTTTGGAGTTAGGAGTTAAGGCTGTTAACGGGTTTCAGGTCTAGGGATGGTTGAGGGGAACATTTGTAAGTTGGTCGTGGTGGTACTGATTCGTGGTAATCAGAGCAAGACCAGGGATGATTCCTGCTATTCTTGCCAAATGTATCGTGATGACAAGAAAGGTCAACATAGTTGCCTAATTGATGGGTTCAGTTTCCTGAATCCTCCAAACGTTGAGGAGGCGGCTGGCTGCCGACTTTGCGCGATGCTTTCGGTGAAGGTGCCGGTGGTCGTCGTCTTAGATGGGCAGAACTGACTCTGAGTGAGTCACAGGCATAGCTAGGCAAACAGTTCATAGCCGGAAGAGTCCGCATGCTATTGCGGATAATGCTAGAACATGATAACGGATCCAACAGGACGTCTCTCATGATGCATCGCTAATAAATACAGGTCATATGCCTCCTTCTGCAGGTCCGTGCAGAAAGGACCAGGTAGATCGCCGACCCGGCATCCATCCACCCTTCGCACCCCTGGGCCAAAGCATTACAAAGCCAACCAGCAACCAAGGTGCGCTGGTGCCGGTGATGGTGGAAATCGTGGTAGTGGAGAGCGTGGTGAGGCTGGAACTTGACCTCAGCAGAATCAAAACGTGAAGTAATAGCAAAAATGGTAGGTTAGACAGCTACGACTCCTGGATTTGAATGCTCAACCCGGTTCTGCTGCATGCCCCAGTGCGAGTGATGACAGACGCAGCTGCAAAAATACATCATAAACAGCTCAAATAGATGGCCGAATCTTCAGCCTTGGGTCTCCCTGTGCAGCCTCTGAGCAGTACCAGCATGGGTGCTGGGCCCGGTGGTCGAGAAGCTTGTGCTCGAATACGTGGAAGTTGTCAAGGTGCCTCACTATGACCGCTGTGAACAGTGAGTTCTGCGCTGTGGCTCGACAACTACCACGATGACTATGACAACCACGATGAAAACAGCGACTACCATCATTCTGCCGCCCCATCATAATAACGACGATGACAATGCAAGAAGCAAAGCACATTGATGCTCCTCATGCTCGACGCATCCAACAGGCAATAGCTGCAGCTTACACCGCTACGACTACTCTGAAATCTTGAGACACGGTGCTGCTGACCGTGCTGTTGCTCGTGGTTGTGGTGCTGAGCGTGGTGTTCGTGAAGGACCTCAGAACATCTCAGCGCTAAATGGCCTGGGTAGGCCCGGGCCGATTTATGGAGGAACAGGCTGCTTTGCTTCTCACGGAAAGCATGACGGGGATACCAGGGATTGTTAATGACAGACTTTCCTGAGCACGCTGCGTAGTGTGACTTGACGTTGTGGAGGTGGACACGTGGAAGTCGACGAATTCAACAGAAGCCTTGACCACAAACATGGAAGCATACCAACGATAATCACAACAGTCGTCTTGCGAACCGCGCGACTGACAGTGCAAGATCAATCAGACTCAGTAGACTTCAAGTGTAGCTTCAGCTGCATGGTTGGCATAAGCCCAAGCCCATTTTACTTCTGGCTTTGCAGGTCGAGGAGCTCCTCCAAGCAAATGCCAGTTCTCCTGCTCCAAGGCCCGGGACTTCAGATCCGTGCAGGGAGGACGTTTCGCATCACCATCTTATATGGGTTACGGTATCTACTAATGAAAGAGATCCTTCAGCCACAGTACGATTGCTGCATGTCGTAAGTTCTGCTGCCAATCATGCCCAATCCTTACACCCTTTATCTTCCGGTGAAGATTTGGACGTTCAGTATCGTCCTTGTAGGGAGCGACTTGTATCGCGGTCGCACCGTCGGGAACCTGCCCGACCCGGCAAGAAGATCTCGACGTTCCCACACAAAAAGGCTGTGATCTGCTCTGCAACACAAGGGGATTACCCCTCGCTAAGTAGAGATGGGATCCAATTCTGATTTGCCCTTGCCAGCTGCGCTTCAGCCGTACTGAGCCAGGGGCAGACACAGAATCCAGGTCAAAGCCTGCGCAAGGGTCTTTACGTGGCGGAGGTGGAGGGGACCACATAATGTAAGGCGTAAATGCTTCACCCCAAAATCTCTGTTAGTTTTCGGATAAGGTCCACGAACTGCTCCGACAGCAGTCCCCCGTTACAAGCAGCCGAGGCTCTGTAGCGCCAAGGATCGCAGCAGACAGCCGGGGGATAGGTGCGCTTTGGCACCTCCACAGGAGGACAGGTTTAGCTCTGTAGTCTGGCTATTGCTGCGCGAGTGATGACTACGACTCATTATGAGTTCTGGTGTTCTATGCATCCTTTGCAAGATTGGCTTTGGCGGTAGCAAAGTTGAAGCCAGACGCGTGGAATACACCACGTCCTCACTCATTCTGGGAACCCCAATGAGGTACCCCTCATTTCTGGAAATCCCAATACCTTCTCTGTATTTCTCGCCTTGCCGAACTCCGACAGCTCTGCTCCACCTCAGGGCAGCAAAGGGATGGAAATGAAATGCTTTCGCCTGCCATCATGCCCACTGTTGGCGGTTGAGCCTATTGTGCAACCTCATGCCGTTGCCATTTCATTTTCCATGGTCTTTCCCATTTGATTCTCAACTTTTTTGGGTAATATCCCTAAATCCCTGCAGAATCTTCGCTGAGCTGAGGTTGAAGCAGGCATCCACGAAGGTGAGACGGTAGCCCCAAAGCAGGCTCTCATCGGCCTCCCCACCTCAAAGTGTCCCAACACTGTGGGATCTACGGCTACCCCTTCCGGCGTGCCCTTCAGAGGCACTGTTTGTTTAGAAGCTGCCAGCAGGAATCCCTAGAGCCTCTACAAGACAGCCACCTCCGCTTCTCTGATTCAGCCTCTTCACCCCAAGCTTTGTCCACATGGGAAGTGCAGACACCCAGCTTGACAAACAAGAACATCATTGCACTCGACCTTCCACTGATATCTGGTCCGAACTCCGGTTCGTACGACTTAAGCTGAGCCTGCCTCGCTGGTTGGGGCCAAAGTAGAGCCGGCCTCTGGAAAACTTAAGCTCAGATTCTTGGTTCAGCTCACAGGGAGTAGGACCCAAGGGCCTGTGAGAACTTGAGCCCGCGGGTCTGTGTCCTCGAAGGCCTCGATGCTACACACCTGGCAAAGTAACGCAACAAAGCCGAGCTTTTGGCCTTCAAAGGACCTTGAAACCAATACCATACTCTCAACACCACTACTATTTCCAGTCGCCGCTGCGGTAATGCTCTTATATGATGACCTTTCGATTTCTGCTTGTTCTGTCTGTCTTATTTCCGAGCGTTCAAAGCTGACCTCCCCAAACCTCAAGCTCCAGGACGTGTCGCCCAGACCAGAAGGGAAGCAAGCTAGCCACAACGCATGAGTACCCCTCTCTTCGCTTTCTGTTATCTTCCAGCAAGGCAAAGCCTAACTCGCCTTGCAAAGCACGTTCCGGGACCACGGAATCAGCGTGATATCCTTGGCGCTTGGTACAGGGCATGCTCTCCCGCGATACTAGCAAGAACAAGCTCCTCGGATTGAGAATGGTAATTGTTCCAGCAATATGTAGCAATGTTGCTCATGGGCCCTGTTGCCTCATTCATGGGGCAGAAGAACTGAGCGATGCCGGACTCGTAGCACTCCTGCATGTGCTACACAGGGGCCGATACTCATCCAAGCAAATCCCAGCCGTATGGTCTAGGTGTAGGGTTACGGATTTAGGGCTATGGCTTGATTACGCTTCTTGGGTATCTGCTACTTGAGAGTTACCACAAAGAACCCAGAAACGCTAGGATGGTCTAAGCTTGAGACATGCTGAAGGGTGTTGCTAAGGCTAATGGACAGCAGAAGTCCCTTGCGGTAGTGTTGAAATAAGGTTTCTTACATCTGGGGGATTCATCTGGTTCAGTCCTTGTGTAAATTCTCATCCCAACCTTGGACTCTGACCGCATCTCCTGGATGCTCTCAGCCCACATGTCAATGAACAGCAGCTCACAGGTGCCGCCGCGGCCTCGACTCTGCCGTCAGTGACAGAAAAGTGCTACAAAACAGGAAAGCGGACAGCACCGTTCCAGTTGTAAATGCGATGACTGTCTTCTTATGTATTTGTGGTAGGAGGAGGAACTTTGCAGCAAACTGCTCCTAGTAGTGTTTCTTGTATTAGCGGAAGCCGTCGTAGTCATAGTGATGAAAACAGTTATAGTAGCAGCAGCAGTAGTGACAGTAGTGGCAAACAACGAGGAAGGAGCAGCAAAAATCGCCTCACGGATCGCCCTGGATACACGTCACCACCACTCTGAGCAGTTGACCGACGGAATTGCACGAAGTGCCCGTGAAGAATTTCACGCCTGCAAAATGGTGTCTGCTACTATTACTTAGCAACCCTTGCCACTGTGTTTATCATTTTGTGTCACAGGCTGCTTCGTGCTCCAAAGGCGTCCTTGCGTCTTGAATGTTTACTGCCACGAGCAGTGCGCACAAAGCTGTCCGGAAAACATCCTGCAAGCCATTCCCCAAGATCCTACTGAACTACCAGAAGAGCACACAGCGCTGGGCAAGCTGCCTGGCCAGATATCTCCTCGACAGGATGGATCCATCTTGCTACTAGGCTGCAAGAACTGCAAGGAGCTTAAGGTCTCCTAGACCAGGGGTGGGAAGTCCTTTGAGGGGAGTGGGATACCAAGTTCCCCAGACCTGGCTTTAGGAGACCGCTATCTAAAACTTGGCGGGCGCACGTGTGTCGCAGAACTTCCTGGGCTAGCAAGCGGGACCACATGAAGCAGAAGGTTGCAGTCTATCCCTGATTGCGCTGGAGTGTCCGCAATAATGTAACTTCTAACTGGGGAGCGTTACCTACCGTGCTCAAATATTCGCCAGACGAATCGTTAGTGAGCTAGCCTGAGAAGGCAACAGGTCATTAAAACTTCTACGGGTTCCTGGAATCTAGAATGCATAAGAAATTTGCATGCCGTAATGATCTAGCTGCAGGGTTGTGCTGGTGGAGCTTGTCGTCGTGGAGGTGGTAGTTGTCGAGCTGGAGCTGCTCGTGCGGCCTCATTTTAAACTCATCAAGTTCGCATTAAAACGTGGCCCGAACATTTTGCCTATTGCAGTGCAGCTTTTGACTGCTAATGCTGTTGTTCCCTCTCCAGATGTTACGTAATTGAACTCTTCGACTCTTTGCTGTTGTTGCTAAACCACCAGAAATGGTAAGAAGAACTGCTGAAACAATTTGCACAAAGGGCTTGAGCTTGTGGAAGTGCTCGTTGTGCTCGACGAACTGGTCGTACTTGTGCTGGAGAGGGTGGACGAACTGCTAGTCCGCGTCGTGGTTGTGACCGTCGTGGAAGTTGTGGCTGTTGTGTTCGTCAGTGTGCTTGTGCTGCTGGCGCTGGTGGTACTGGATGTAGAACGTGTTGTAGTTGTGCGAGTGACGGAGGACGCTGTTGAAGTCGTGCGAGTGCTGGAAGTCTGTGTGGCGCTGGTGGACGTGGTGGTCGAGGTGTTTGAAGCGGTGGTAGAAGTGGTTGTGTTCTCTAGCGTAATGTTGAAGTGCGTCGTGCTTGTTGAAGACAAGGTCGTAGATGAGAGTGTTGTGGATGAAGTCGTAGACATCGTAGCAGATGACGAAGTGCTTGAAGTCTTGGTCACTGATGAAGTGGTGTCTGTGGACGTGGTGACTGTGGAGCTGCTGGATGAGGTTGTTGTTGATGACGTAAGTGTCGATGACGTGGTCAATGTGGCGGTGGATGTGGTGGAAAACGTGCTGCTGGTGCTGCTTGACGTCTGTGTGGCGCTTGTGCTGGTGTTTGACATTGAGGTGGTGGTCGAAACTGTCATGGTGCTGCTCGTGGCCGTTTGCGACGACGTGGACGAAACCGAGACTGTTGAAGTTGTGGTGGAGGAGTACGTTGCTGTCGTGCTTGTCGTGGTTGATTCTGTGACTGAAGTGCTGCTAGTGGTCCGTGAGGTTGTGCTGGAGGTGGACACCGATGTTGAGGTTGAGGATTGCGTCGTGCTGGTGGATGACAAAGTGCCTTTGATCAACGTGCCCACTTCCCATTAGAGGTGCGCACTCTGACCATCTGGACAACAAGAACAAGCAAAAAATGAAAGACAGCAGAGCAGCACTGCACTAGCAGAAGGATGCTAACAGATTGTGAGACGAATGTGTTGTGGATTTGTGGATGAGCGCTGAGCGCCGAGGAGCTCGTGGCGGTGGCGCTCGTTGTGGTCGTTGTCAAACTCGTGGAGGAAGTCGCCGTCTCAGTGGTCGTTGTCGTGGTCGAACCAGTTGTAGACGAGGTCCAAGTTGTGGTGGTTTCGTTTGTCAGGTTGGTGAGCCTAGGTTCTGACGTGGTAGCTCCTTGGACTTAGAAATCTTAGAAGGTAACTTGTACCTTTTGGAGGCTTGGTAGCCGCAGGCCTTCCAAGCAATCTGGCTGCAAAACCAAGGATCAACTCTGCCCTTCACTTGAAGATTAACAACCCAAAGTTTTACTGCCATAGCCTAGCGGCGTTGTTGTGGAAATCGTTCTCGAGGTCGTGGTGGACGTAGACGTTTCACTGCTTGAGGTGGTCGATGTGCTGGTCTCTGTCATGGTGGTGGATGTGGCATTACAACTGACCGCGGGCTCCTCCCAGCAATGAGCTAAGACTGCTTGCGAACTGAATGCATCAGGAGTCACAGGGCGCTTCTGTGGAGATGTGCCACGCAAAGATCATGGAGGGGTCAGTGGGATCACCCATGGATTAACTGGGAGTCCAAGCAGGCTTACGGGCCTCATAAGCATTCAGAACATCTCTTGTACTTACATAGGTCTCCTGAGCCTTGAGCAGCGCTGCTCCGAGGACAATGCCCGGCGGCAACAAGGCGTGGCCTTAGAAGTATCGATGTTGATACTGCAAAAGTGATAGGCAGGCTTTGGGTACATTGTGCATGATGTGTGCCTACCAACCTTCTAAACAACTCCAAGCTGGTGAATGCCGGTGATGCAAATCATACTGTACCGGAGCCTTGCGTGCAGCAATCTCTTGCATGGGGACTGGAACTGATCTGGATGCCCCAAGCCCCATGCGAATGGTCAGTGTCAGAGCGCTCACGAACTCGCTCATGAGTGGGCACACTAGTAGATGAGCGAGTGGGCATAGTTCGATTAACTGGCTGGCGAGGAAGCGAGCTCTAAGTACTTAATTGCTATCTTTGCCCAAGCCCTCCAATGGCCCTCCAATGTACAGCCAAGCCACAGTGATCGTGACTCGCCGTAGATGTCACGGAGGATATCAGCAGCCAAATCTGAGCATCCCAGGCGCAAAACGTACGTCAAGAAGCACGACGAGGACTGCACAAAATCATTGCTGTCCTAGCTCTTCAACTTTTGTTGCAGATCCCTAGCAGCATAGTAGTCTTAGCATGCGAGGCAAGTAGGAGCCGGACTTGCGCAAGCCACCACTTCCCATGGACCATGCTCGATTCACCTGAAGTTTCAGGTCAAGCAGGAGATAGAAACAGAGTAGTAGCGTCAACAAGAGTCTCAGCAAGCAGTAGCAGTGGAAATCGGTCTTGCAAGTAGGAAAGGGCAATTCTGGGAGGAGAAAAGCCCCACGGGCCTCATGCCAAGTCTGCATTACCCTATCATGCTATTGCTGGCCCTGGCAGACTTGAGGGCTTGAGCCATGAAACTTCTGCGAGCAAGTTGACAGGTGCTGAGAGGCAAAGCGCGTAAGTCAAACTCTTCAAGCTATTGGACGGCTGCGCGGCTGTGGGTCCATCACTTTTTAGCTGTCTGGGACCCATCCCAAGGCTCAGGGGACTGGGTGCAAAATGCTCATGCACTTTGTCATGCACTGGCTGCTAGGAGCACTACTAAATTTCAGTTACTCGTAGACGAGGATGCAGTGCGAAGTAGAATCCACTTTCAAAGTTCGCAGTATGCAGGCTAGAACCGTGGTTGCTAGTGCTCTGGTCAGGAAGCGGCTTCGGAGGACGTGGTGCCCATACATCTCACCGCTCTATTCCAACACGGCGTCTCGGCTTCCTCGGCTGGTGATTTTGCTCCAGAAGCGACCAGGTTGCCAATTACTTCAGCTTTCTGAAAGCTGTATGTTCAGCAGACATTGTACTTGCCTCAACCATCCACTGCAGCTCCAAGGTGGAGTCTGCATTTGTGTTTTTGGACAGCATTGCGGCTTTGACCACAAAAGATGGAAGGTCTCCTTCACACAGCCAGCGCATTGCTGTTCTCAAGCAGTGGTCCCCTTACATACCTCAGTTTCTTCAGAATGCTTTTCTACGGCAAGCCACAGAAGAGACAACAACATTGCCACATCTGTTGCTGGCACGTGTGCCACACATGCTACGAGGACAAGAGTAATTGCCAGAATGTCCAGGCCAAAAAGAACTTAACGACATCGGATCCTGGTATCCGCAATCAGGTGACTGTACAAATCTTCGACGGCCGTTGAACCTGTACATCAACGTACATGATCCCAGAGCGACGGAAGCTCTATCCCCTCTGAAACCGCGCGTGAGCCCTGACATTCCATGCTAGGCCCCTTGAAACTACCTTTCAAGAGGATGGTGACCCAAGGTCCCTGCTTTTCTACGAGGACGGCACGTGCCTCAGCTGTTCCAAAATTGGCAGGCGCTGACAGACCAACAATGCCGTCATTGCTGTAGTTAGTACAGTTTTTGCGTATTCCTTTTGGAGAATATGGCTTCTGCAAAAAAAAACCCCTTTCATAGAAGCTACAAGCCTTGCTTCTGCCAGTTTGTTTTCTATGCCTGGATTGACTTGTCCCGCGCCTTCTGTAGCTCGAACTGCATCATGAGGGCCCGCCTCATCCCGAACCCCCAGAGAGGATGCAAGCAATGTGTCCCCACTGACATCATACAAGGATGATGCTCTGATTCTGAGATCCTTTTTTTGGTCGAAAGCCAGTCTTTGTAGAATTGGATGCCTGCTTCTGGGTTGCT